ATCTGAGGAGGAATTGAATTCATTTATGGTTGTATCAAAAAGAGATGTTCGATGGGTGTTCTAACAAACGAAATTAGCACCTGGGCCTCACTTGAGATATTTATAGAACGTTTTGAAGTCACCAATTAGCGTCTCCGGTTTTTGCAAATGTCGGGACCCAAACGGATGGCTTTTAAAATTTTGCAGTATTGTACGCTTCAAATGTATTTTTATTGTCAGCATATTAAAAACATTTTATGATGACCTTTAAAATTTATATGACAAGAAGTATTTCTATAGTATGATTTTATTCCCATAGTCAAAAACAGATTGCATAGTCGCACGGGGTCGCCATTTTTAAAAACGTAAACAAAACATTGACTTTTGAGTTTGATAAACGTTTTCTTGCGCTATTTGAACTTAAAAACTAATTATCTGTAGACAAAAATCGGTAAATGGCTATCTATTCTAAGACTACATCAATAATATAACTGATTTGTTGACACATTTAGTTATGGATAAGTATTTTTGCAAAAAGTGATCCGATTTGGGTACTGCCACCCTAAATTAATTTGTAGTTCCTGCCAGGCTAAAAATCAGCAACCCCCGATCATCTGATGGGTTATAGAAGTGATTTAGATGCTCCCCATACACAAAAATATTGTACCATTCTATGATAACACAGGGAATTGTATGGCTCATAGTGACCAACAACTACGGCATGTTATTGGCTATGACGATCGCATTTATAAGCCGGAGGAGGAGCCCCGACGTCACGGACAATGAATTCGTATGTAAACAAGTTTGAGGGGTAAACAAACAGTCATAATTTGATACCATCTCACTGAACTTACTACTCTTACTACAATCCGACTATATAAACCTTCATGATGCGATGAAATGATGACACATCTTTATTTTAGCAAACACATTGTGAAAAATCGAAAATGATGTAATGGCGGCTAAAGGTGGATGGTGGTATGTTGTTGTAAAAAAAAGTCGTATGGACCAAAAATGCGCTGGTGATAGAAAACGTAATTTACACAAACGATAGATACAATATAAACATATTCAGTACTTACATTTTTTTCTGCCGATGGCAATAGAATTGAGATGATGGTTGTTGATGATGTTGAGAGGTCAGCTGCTATCAATCGGCAATCAGGAAGATGTAAACATCCGGTTGCATCACGGGTATATCGAGGCCGAACATTTCCGAAAATTTCGAAACGTTTAACTGCCTTGCTAACGATACAAAACGTATTTTGAAGTCGAAAAAAATATATTTAGTTAATATTTACCGTTTTATTTTTGTTTTTGATAAACCACGTAGAAAACATTTTATTAATCATTATATTTTTACCGGAAGTTGCGTGTAGCTTGCATGACCTAGTCAAGTGGCAGTTCCCGATTGAGATAATCAGGGTGCATTTTCAAAAAGAATACGACGTTGTGATAAGATCATATGTTCTACCAAGTAAAGGAATGATATTTACAAGCCATTCAAGTGCATTTGAGTCCAACGTTACGCATAATAAAGACAGTAGGTCCGGTATTTGATTCAATTTAGTACCATTAAGTACCGCTAGGGCGGCGTCTGTGTGAAAACGACATTTATGAATATCTTGAGCTCATTAACTAAAGTAATACCAATAACTGGCGGCTAACGCCTTAGCTAAAAACAAGAGATCCCAGAGGGATCTTGGCACCCACCATCTTAATTAGTTCTTTGTCAGTTCGATCTTTTCTCTAATCTGTTTGATTGAGTCATGTTAACAGTAAATGCACCTTGAGGTAACTTTTGATCTAAACTTAATACCACTGTGTATAAAAGATAACCTTCAAAGTGAGTTTGTCATTTCATACATTTACTAGTACATTACCTAATGTGAAAGAAATAGAATCGATCATTGCAATATGAGAAAGATCTGTTTAGTTCTTCCTTTAGCCATTTGGTTTTTATGATCAGTCTCAAAATATAACATGCAAAACGAGGGATCAAGGGGAACATACATATCAAATTTGAGAAAGGTCCCTCAAGTTATTTCTGAGAAAAAGTACGAACAAACCTTCAATGTTGAAAATTGAAGATGGCTGTCGGTCAGCCATTTTGTTTTTCTGATCAGTTTCAAAAGTAAACATGAACAATAAAGGACAGTGGGCAACCTGCATATAGAATTTGAGAGAAAAAAAACTCCAGTATTTCCTGGGAAATAGCACTAACAAACCTTAACTGTCAAAATCAAAGACTTGTTTATCCTATACAAGTCTCATACGAATAATATGCATAACTTCATACCAAGGGGAACCTACATAAAAAGTTTGGAAACTTTATAGCACTCCATCCCAGGTACATACTGGCCAAATATCATGGCCCTGGGTCTTATGGAACTTGAGAAGAAGATTGTTAAAGCTTTCAACCCATGTTTACATTTGACCCCAGACTAGCACTTTAAGTTGACTTTTGACCTCATTAGTTTACCTGAGGAAAAGATTCGCACTGCTAGTCTAAATACCCAAGTATCATGACTCTAGTCCAAAGGGTTCTTCGGATATTGTTGTTTGAAGTTTTTAACATATTTGACGCATGTGACCTTGTAAGTAGGTCAAGGTCATAATGAGGAAACTTTATAGCACTTCATATATATCTACTGGCCAAATATCATGACCCTTAATTAGTCCTCTAGAAGTCGTTCAAAAGAAAAAGTTGACGGAAGGACGACGGACGACAGATGGACGACAGACGGACGGATGCCGCAGTACGGCATAAGCTCACATGGCCTCTGTTTAGTGGTGAGCTAAAATGACTCACTGTTTTCTCAAGGACAAACGGACATCTAATATTAACTTAACCCAACAGTCCATCGACACAACTGCCCTTATAACATCTTCAGTTGTACAGCTTGCAAGAATTGTCTTGAATTCTTAGACAAAGCAATGGCTTCAGTCCTACAGGTGATAATCCTAATTGTATATATATACACAATCGGTGTCAGCCACAACACACAAGGGAGCAGACACACTGTTTTTCTTGGACTAAGTTACAAAATTGTTCATCTGTTTTTAGCTCACCTTGTCCAAAGGGCCCAAAGGGATTTATACCAAATGTGGTCTGAAGCATACTTAGGGCTAAAAGAATCAATTTTGTATAAACTGAGGTGTGTGGGCCCCCTTTTTTGGTGCAGAAGGGTGGGGCCCATAAGGGAAAATAGAGGAAACAATTAAAGATCCTTCTCCTTTTGTACTGATGAAGGGATTTTAATCAAACTTGTTTTAGATAATCTTTGGAAAAAGGAAATTAAATTTTATATGAACATGGGAAAATAGGTAAATCTTCAAAACTCTTCTTCAAAACAATTGAAGATTTTAACCAAATTTGTTTCAGAGCATCTTTGAAATTTGTATAAACGGAGGGTGAGCACCCCTCGGGGAAGAGGGACGGGGCCCAATAGGGTAAATAGAGGAAAATTATTCTCCTTCTGTACAAATGAAGGGCTAAGGGAATTTAAAAATCTTCCCCTTCTTAACCAATAAAAGGATTTCGACAAAATTTGTTCTAGAGCATCTTTGAACAAAGGAGCCTGAACTTTGTATAAACGGAGGGTGTGGCCCCTCTGGGGGCAAAGGGAAGGGGCCCATTAGGGGAAATACAAAGAAATCTTTTAAATACTTTACCTTTCTGTGTGAAAAGAGGGATTGCCACCAAATTTGTTATAGATCATCTATAGGCAAAAGGACTTTATTTTGTATAAATGGAGAATGTGACCCCTAATTAGGGCAGAGGGCTGGGCCCAATCGGGGTAATATATTTTCATGTAGTTCTTTTTGCAACACGTACTTCTTGTACTCCTTAAATAAACCTGTATGGTACTCAGATGAGCTATTAAGGTCCCTGGGCCTCTTGCTTAAATACCTAGTAGCCAATTTAGTAGCCATGCAATTGAAAACAAAATAGCAAAGGACAATTTTTTCAACAACTAGCGTAAGCCCTCAGGATATACATGTAAAACATTTTACAAAAAGATGCCTAGAGGGCCTGTATAGATTACTAGGTTGGCTATGGGTTGGTAATCTCAACCAGTTTAAAGTTATGACTCAAGAATTAAGTCCCTAGGGGTAGAGCCAACCCCCAGGGTCAATTATAATATATGACCCTGTTATGACCGTGTTAACCTCTTTATGCTTATCAATATCATTAGTGGGTTAGAGTCTCATCCATTTCAAAGTTATGGCCAAGAAATTAAGTCACTAGGGGTGAGGCCAGACCCACAATGCATTAGTAATATCATGATTGTGTTCGTCTCTTAATGCCAAGCAATGGTATATATGGTTATGGGGTGGGGATTTTGATTATGGGGTGGGGATTTCAACTGTTTCAAAGTTATGACTTACAAATGAAGTCCCTATGGGTTTGGCGAGACCCCAGAGTCAGTTCTTATATTATGATAATCTTTGTGGTTGCTCTTGATGCCTAGCAACAGCATATATATGGTTATGGGGTTTTCAAAGTTATGGTGCAGGAATTAAGTCCCTAGGAGGTTGGGCCAAACCCCAGAGTCTATTCTTATATCATGATTGTGTTTGTTCTCGATGCTCTGCAATAGGTAATAGGGTGGGGATCTCAATAATCTCCAAGTTAAAAAGTCTTTTTGGACCCTCCCCTTAGATCCAGGGTCAGCCCTTAAACTGGTACAATTTTGAATCCTTACCCCTGAGAATGCTTTCAACCAAACATGGTTGATTTCCAACAAGAGAAAAAGTTGCTTGAAGTAATATGGTCAAATTATCCCTTTTTGTCCCCACCCCTCAGCCCCCTGGGGAGTCAGGCCCTCCATTTGTACACTTATGAATCCCCATCACCTAGAAATGCTTGAAGTCAAATTTGCTAAAATTCCAAATTGAATGTATTGTATTGAACAGTATGATATGATTAATATAGATATACAAATTAAATTTATAAAATTTTGGCAAAACTTGACCAGTGACCTCTAGGAGGCTCCATATAGATGCTACTGACTTACCTATGACTGACCACTGCAGGTGTAAGGCTTCAGCCACACTCTCAAATGCCTGCGTACTGTCCCCAATCGGGAGGGTGGGGTCGGTAACTACGGCGGCAGGGTCAGTCATGATGAATGGCTTCCTTAGCTTGGTGATCTTTTTCTTTCGTATAGATGTGGTGTTCGCAGAAACCTGAAATAAAAAATGTAAGAATTGCTTGTACATTATTTATTTACCACTTCAAAGCAGTATGCCATCTGACTGTGACATGACTCTCAAGTTTTTAAGAGCCCCATATACTTACAAGAAGCCTGTATTGCACACCTGAATAATAAAACAATCATGGGGAAATATTCGTATTACATAAATGACCTCCAATGGTTCAGAAGAAGAAGGATTCTAAAGATTTCAACCTCAAATTCCCCTATATTGGGCCCCACAACTCTGCATCCAGAGGGGCCACAACCTTCATTTACACAAAATTTAGTCCCCTTTGCCAAAGGATACTCCAGGTCAAATCAGGATAATAATACTCCATAAGTACAGAAGGAGAAGGAATTTAATGATTTTAACCTTAAATTCGCCTTTTGTGCCCTGCTGCTCTGCATCCAGAGGGGCCACAGTATAGAGGGGCCAAACAAAATAAAGTTGCCTTTGCCCAAGGATGCTCAAGGCCAAATTTTGATAAAATCCCTTTTAAAATCTTTAAAATCCTTCTCCTTCTGTACCATTGTACAGAAGGAGAAGGATTTTAAAGATTTAAACCTCAAATTCCGCTTTTGAGCCCGCCCCTCTGCACCAAAAGCGGCCACACCCACCGTTTATACTAAACTGAGTCATCTTGGCCAAAGGCTGCTCAAGACCAAATTAGGATCAAATCCCTTTATCTCTATGGTAGGAGAAGAATGGATCAAATCCCTTTATCTCTATGGTAGGAGAAGAATGTCAAAGATGTTACCTCTAGTTCACCTCTGCCCCCAGGGGGTCCAAACTCACTGTTTATAACAAAATTGATTTGACTTGGCCCAAGGATGCTCCAGACCAAATTGGGATGAAATCCCTTTATCCTTATGGTAGAAGGAATTTAAAGGTTTCACCTCTATTTCCCCTATTGAGCCCTGCCCCTCTGCCCCCAGGGGGTCAACTGTTTATACAAAATTGAGTTCCCTTGGCCCAAGGATGCTCCAAACTAAATTAGGATAAAATCCCTTTTTCCTACGAAAGAAGAAGAAATTTCAAGATTTTACCTCTATTTCCCATAATGGGCCCCGCCTCTCTTCCCCCAGGGGGCCACATAAACCAATTATACAAAATTGAGTCCCCTTGCAAGAAGGATGCTCTAGAACTGATAGGGATAAAATCCATTCAACGGTATTGTAGCAGAAGGATTTACGCCCCCCCCCCCCCCCCCCCCCCCCCCNACCTTTGTACCATCTTCATTAGTTCTTTGTCAGTTCGATCTTTTCTCTTCTTTCCTCTAATCTGTTTGATCGAGTCATGTTAACAGTAAATGCACCTTCAGGTGACTTTTGATCTAAACTTAATACTGATGTGTATGAAAGCCAACCTTCAAAGTGAGTTTGTCATTTCACATATTTACTAGTAGTACAGTTCTTAATGTGAAAGAAATAGAATCGGTCATTGCAATATGAGAAAGATCTGTTTAGTTCTTCCTTTAGTCATTTTGTTTTTATTATCAGTCTCAAAATATAACATGCACAACGAGGGGTCAAGGGGAACCTACATATCAAATTTGAGAAGATCCCCCAAGTTATTCCTGAGAAATAGTACTAACAAACCTTCAATGTCACAAATCATAGATGGCTGTCAGTAGGCCATTTTGTTTAACTGATCAGTTTCAAAAGTAAACATGAACAATAAAGGATAGTGGGGAACCTGCATTGGCTGGCCCCAAAAAAAAAATTGTCCGAGTAAAAAATTTGAAGCACTGGCCCAAATGACATATTGGTGGCCCAAATAATTTTGGGAAGAAATATTTCCACAGCATTTAGCACAATGCTTCAGCACATTTAAATTACATATAACATGACAATGTTTGTAATATGTTAAACATCATTGTCTGAACGCAGTCCTATTCGTTCGTAACAGAGTCCTACGGATCGGGAATGGTCCGGAGAGGTCGACCAAGCACTCCCGACAGTTAGGTGCATCCCGTAACATTCGGGAAACTCAGCCGATTGTGTCTAGCCGGATTACAATTGTGACTATGTCGTGACAGATTCTGCTGTATTGGATCAAAATCGTAACAATGTCCTGTGTTGTCTAGAGGGTGTCTTGTGGATCGGGACGATGTCGTGATGAACAGGCAAGATTTGGAGAAATTTTTCATTGACGTTTCTAGCCGATTAAGTCCACATAGCGTCCAGATCTTACCGAATGCGTCGGTTCACTGCCCGGTCACTGTCTGATCTCTGTCGGATCGCGTTCGGGAAAATCGGGACGCTGTCGGGACAGAATCGGTCATTTTTTACCCTGCGGAAGATACAAATCGGATCAGATTCCTAGGTCCCTAGGGGATTGGTCAGACCCCAGGGTCTATTCTAATATCATGACTACATTCGTCTCTTTATGCCCATCATTTGTATATATAGTTTTGGGGTGGGGATCTCAACCATTTCACAGTAATAAACTTTTTTGGACCCAAATTGACCCCTTTTGGCCCGCCCCTCTGCCCCCTGGGGGGTCAGCCCCACTATTTGTACAATTTTGAATCACCACCATGCACCTAGGGATGCTTCCAGTCAAATTAACTTGAGTTCCAATCAGTGGTTAAGAAGAAGAAGTTGTTTAAAGAAATTGTTGACGTACGGACTGACGACGCACGGACGTCGGACGCAACGGTATGGCATAAGCTCTCACCTTGGTCCTTTGGACCAGGTGAGCTAAAAATATATAAAGCCCGGACAGAATTTTCATCTATGCACAAACTTTGATTGTACAACATCTGAGTCTGAAGAAGTTTTGAAATATTGATTAATTTTATCTTTGGTGCCCCACCCTGGACCCTTGGGTTGGGGCAGGATTCCCAATTTTACAATTTGATACTATCTTCCTCCAAGGATGACTCTCATTACAACCAAAAGTGTTATTTCCTTCTATAAACTAGAGTAAACATTACCCCATCCTAAAAGGAGAAGGGATGGCCCTTGGGTACTGAAATTTAGAATTTAAATAAAGCCCCTGGTGATTTTCTCATACATGCAGAGAAATTGACCGTAGTACCGCTGAGTCTGGAGAAGAAGATTTTTGAAATATTGATTAACTTTCCCTTTGGGACCCTGCCCTGGCTCCTGGTGTTGGGGCAGGAATCCCAATTTAACAATTTGATACCATCTTCCTCCAAGGATGATTCTTACCAAGTAAGATTAATTTCCTACTGAAAATGAACAAAATATACCCAAAAGTTTTATTTCCTTATATAAACTAGAGTAAACATTACCCCTTCCCCAAAGGAGAACGGATGGCCCGGGGGTACTGAAATTTACAATTTAAATAAAGCCCCTGATGATCTTTCCATCCATGCAGAGAGAGAAATTGACTGTAGTACCTCTGAGGCTTGAGAAGAAGATTTTTGAAGTATTGGTTAATTTTCCCTATGGGGCCCCGCCCTAGCCCCTGGGGTTGGGGTAGGAATCCCAATTTTACAATTCTGTAGCCTCATTTACCAAGGATGATTCTGACCAAGTAAAAAGTTTTACGTATGACAGACGAGGGCGACGTGGACAGAAAGCGATCAGAATAGGTCATTAGTGACCTAATTAACTTCATTATAAATTATAAAATCTTTATTGCAGATAACAATATCTTCAGTTTCAATCCAGTTGTTGATCATTGCAGCCTCCATAGTACTATTCACATCTTTTACTTCTTCCTGTGCTGCCAGAAATACAAAAAAAGAATTCATCATCTAATTTTTTACATCGTTTTCATTGTAACCAAGTTTATTATTTTTAGATATTTGTCTTGGCCAACTTCTTGTTCTTTTCCGAGGGTCTCTATATATTTCCTAAATTTGTTTTTCCCTTTTTTTTTTTGCAAAATGCCAGAGTGGAATGAATCATGAATATATCGCTGACCCAATTAATTGATGCTGGGGTGTGATATCAATTAGTGTCAACTATTCTACATAACATACCTCAGTATTATGATTCCAGTCCAAATGGTTCTTAGGAAATTGTCGTTTGAAGTTTTTAACATATTTGACCAATTTGACCTTGAAACAAGGTCAAGGTTATTTTAATGAGGAACCTTTATAGCACTTCATCAAAGGTAACTACTGGCCAAATACCATGACCCTTGGCCTTATGGAACTTGAAAAGAGGATTATTAAAGCTTTTAACCTATGTTGACATTTGACCCCTGACTAGCACTTAGGTTGACCTTTGACCTCATTACTGTAACAAAGAAAAAATAGTTGCACTGCTGGTCTACATAACATATCCAAGTATCATGACTCTAGTCATGATGGTCCTTTAAATATTGTTGTTTGAATGTTTTAACATATTTGACCCCTGTGACCTTGAAAGTAAGTCAAGGTCATTTTAATGAGGAAAATGTATAGCAATCCATCCTATCTACCTACTGGTCAAATTTCGTGACCCTAGGTCCTCCAGTTCCTTCAAGCTAGTTATCTTTGTAAAAACTTGGGTAACCTGTAGCTAAACTTAGTTTAGGAAGCACAGAACACTTTTGCAGGGGATTAACTCGGAGAGCCATATAGGCTACAGCTCTTCAATAATCACCATTCCAGGATTGGAACGCTTCAACATCAAGTCACATTTGTTTATGGCAGTGTGTTGAGAAGTAGGTCAGAGAAAACCATTTTCTTCGGGAAAGATCACAAATTTGAGCAAGCAGTTTCATTAGAAAGTACATCATAATATTTGTATTAATATTATACATACATGTACATTCAACATGTATTGTTGTATTGTTCACATATATCTGATATATATATATAGTTAAAGAAATCAAATGCTTTCTCTGCCGTTGGTTAACCACAAAATGGTGTCACTATTTTGTGAATGAAATGTTATAAGAAACTGATAGGTGTCCCAGCTAAACTTATAGCATATGAATAAAAAGTAATTAATAAGATTCCACACAAGGAGATCTCAGATTCCACATAAGGAGATCTCAGATTCCACACACGGAGAACTCAGATTCCACATAAGGAGAACTCAGATTCCACACAAGGAGATCTCAGATTCCACATAAGGAGAACTCATCAGATTCCACATAAGGAGAACTCAGATTCCACAAAAGGAGAACTCAGATTCCACATAAGGAGAACTCAGGATTCCACACAAGGAGATCTCAGATTCCACATAAGGAGAACTCAGATTCCACATAAGGAGAACTCAGATTCCACACAAGGAGAACTCATATTCCATATCAGAAGAAATCAGATTCCATAAAAGGAAATGGTGGTACTAGTTTCAACAGGAGGCCCATTGGCCTGAATCGCTCACCTGGTATTAATCTCACACTTGTAATCTTAAAAGTGGACTAAAATACAGCTACAGGCAGAATATCAGCGTTTGATTCATAAGAATCTATTGAATGATTTAAACATATGACGCCTGTGACCTTGAATGTCGAACAAGGACATTAGGTTGAACAGAGTTTAAAGTCTTCTATCCCGGCATGCTTTTGGCAAAATATCATTACCCTGGACCTTTTGGTTATACAGAACAAGTCATTTAAAGATTTAAACATATATTGACCACTGTGACCTTGAAAATGGACGAAGGTCATTCAATTTGACAAAATTGATAACCCTTCATCCCAGCCTGTTAATGGCCAATTATCATAAGCCTAGGCCTCTTAGTTATTCAGAAGAAGTTGTTTAAAGTAAAATATTGACGCCGGATGCTGCACCATGGCCAAGGGCTAAAAATGTGAACCTGCGTTAAGCAAACTTTGTTATATACTTGATCTCCTAGACACCTGCATTACCTCATGCAACACTGACCATTAATCCCCCGCACTCGTCTTCGTACTTTTAAAGTTGCCACCTCCTTAAGTTGGTGAAAACTGTCAAAGTATTGATACAGTACCTATTTTTTTCTTCTATATTGCTCTTTTTTTGAAGTATGTAGTTTATGCTGTTATAAAATGTATATAAGGAAAATGAGGCAAACAATTCTGTTCAGCAAAATGAAGAAAATATATCATAATATGTTGCACATGTGTCAGAATTGATTAAGTTGATAGTTTCTGACTTATTTTCAGTACGATATTTTCAAGCATTAATAGAATGATCTTTTTAGCCCACCATCATCTGATGGTGGGCTATTCAAATCACCCTGCGTCCGTGGTCCTTTGTCCGTCCGTGGTCCGTTGTCCGCCATCCGTCCTTAAACAATTCTTGTTATCGGTATTTCTCAAGAAGTACCAGAGGATCTTTCTCAAATTTTATATGTAGGTTCCCCTTGGTCCTTTGTTGTGCAGGGCAACTTTTGAGACTGATCGGATAAACAACATGGCCGATAGGCAGCCATCTTGGATTTTGATAGTGAACGTTTGTTATCGCTATTTCTCAAGAAGTACCAGAGGGATCTTTCTCAAATTTTATACGTAGGTTCCCCTTGGTCCTAGCTGTGCAGGGCAATTTTAGAGACTGATTGGATAAACAACATGGCCGACAGGCAGCCATCTTGGATTTTGACAGTGAAAGTTTGTTATCGCTATTTCTCGGGAAGTACCCGAGATCTTTTTCAAATTTATATGTAGGTTCCCCTTGATCTCTCGTTGTGCATGTTATATTTTGAGACTGATAATAAAAACAAAATGGATTAAAAGAAGAACTAAACAGATCTTTCTCATATTGCAATGATCGATTCTATTTCTTTCACATTAAGAACTGTACTAGTAAATATGTGAAATGACAAACTCACTTTGAAAGTTGGTTTTCATACACATCAGTATTAAGTTTAGATCAAAAGTTACCTCAAGGTGCATTTACTGTTAACATGACTCAATAAAACAGATTAGAGGAAAGAAGAGAAAAGATCGAACTGACAAAGAACTAATGAAGATGGTACAAAGGTGGGCGCCAAGATCCCTCTGGGATCTCTTGTTGTTGCTATGAAATGACTAAATAAAATATGGTGAATATGATGTACACATAAGAAGACTTATGCCTTTTGATATGCTTCAAAATCCACATCTTAATGAGTCGTACAAAATTATATAGAAAATTGCGAAATGGCCATTATAAACATCTTACATTTTTCCAGTCGTAAAATCTTACTTAAAAAAAACAGAACCAATTGTTTAGAGCTTTCTAAAATCGTTAAATCATTATACCTGGAATAACGTTCGTATATCTGTTGGTATCACTTTAGAGAAACTTCTACGAGTGATGTAGCTGTCATCTGGGTTGATAAGCACATGCACATCTTGGTTGACATGTGAGGAACACACAGACTCACAGTATACCTGGGAGCTCTTCACTCGACTTGGCTGGGCAACAGCACGGGAAACACTCCCAAAATTGTCTTGTCTGTCTCCTTCAACAAATAACAATACTAGTATAACCATGACATTTCCTACAGGCCAAGATAAATAAATATTTATTTACAGGCCTTAACATTCTAGGGATGTGTTTCTTCTATTCCATTTCTCCTTTTCATAAAGAATGTAGGATTTTTTTATATCCTCGCTTTTATAAAACACCTATAAAGGAACAAAAATTTACAACTGAATGATTTGCTTTAATAATTATTTTTTAACTGTTTTACATCCCATGGGTGGTCTATTCTGCTGCTTGCCATGACCGCAAACAATTTATTTTTATTTTCACACACCACTGGTGCTGCTGATTAGTTTCTATTTGTGAGTTATATAATATGTCAAGTGTTACAAATTGTTAAAGAACCACAAATAGTTACTTCAGAAAACATGTGGTACATATACCTTTATTGGTGTTTGATTGTGTGTAGCCTCTTGCAGATGTACTGATACAAGCGGTTCCACCTACGGAGAAGTGCGAGTCATAGTGTACAATGTTGCTAAAGGAGTCAAGTTCATTGGAAAGTGAAAGGTCACCCTCATCAAAGGTCACCTGCTGGAGGTTGAGGTCAAACTTTGGCTCCATAGGAGCATCCACATCCTACGACGTCAGAACTTCCTCCAGCAACCTGCAAACAAGTTAAAGGGAAAGTGTACAAGTATACGATGGCAAAGTGAACAAAACAAAAGGCCCAGAGGGCCTGTAACGCTCACCTGGATATTTAAACGGACGTACCATTAAAACCAATATTTCAGTTATTGAATGAAAGTGTTGTCTACATTGCCAATTATGTTTCCTTGCTATCCCCAAATTCATAGTCCGTTCCAAATGTCCAGTTTGACTACTTGAACTGTTCGGCTGCAAAGTTAGCAAAGGGCCCCCAAGAGAGAGGCCGTCGGGTAACTTCTTACTGCACTATGAAACCTCGGACTTAGATAGCTCTAATCTAATTCCATGATGAAACCAATGAATACGATTCAAAGTCTGTTATTGAATCCCCTTAGCAGTTATTATTCATCATCAGAAGTTAATTTACACATGCCACTATTCAAATGAAGAATCATGTACTACTCAAAACAATAAATTGTGATTTTCAGACCATGTTTACATAGCAGTTACAAAGGCTAACAGAATCCTCAGACTGTTTTAGCGTAACGGTACCATTACGCATGAATTTTGAGCCGCTACGCATCACCATTTTACCGTTTCGCATGCATTTTACCGTTACTCATTGAAAGGTATACTGTATCACAACACAAATACGACTGGAACATCAAGTTCTCACTAATTGATAACCTCTTCTCGCTTTACTAATTAGACTAACTTTTTATTGTTTGCTAGGAGCGCACCCTGATCAACGAACTCTGCCTTGCGGGTGATTTACCTGTGGAGGTGTGAACTACCGATAGGCCTAGATGTGAAACGTGAACAATAGACCACAATTACCAGTGTGTAATTCATCTAATCATAATAAGTGATCCCTGTTTATTATCCAGGCTTCAATCAACATTTTGATTTTCATAGGTGACCAACAATTACACTAGAATAAGAAATACAAACACAAAAGTACAGTAGCTTTGTATTCAGAAACAAGAGGCCCAATGGGCCTGCATCGCTCACCTGGTATTAATCTCACAATTGTAACCTTAAAAGAGGACTAAAATAAAGCTAGACTTAAAGTTTAAAGTAATTCAGAAAAAAGAATGGGCAAAGGTTATTTATTTGAACAAACTTGGTAGCCCTTCATCCCAGCATGTTACTGGCCAAATATCATCACCCTAGGCCTCATGGTTATTCAGATGAAGTCATTTAAAGGTTTTAAAGGTATTTGACCCCAGTGACCTTGAATATAAATCAAGGTCATTTATTTGAACAAACTTGGTAGCCCTTCATCCCAGCATGTTACTGGCCAAATATCATCATCCTAGACCTCTCGGTTATTCACAAGGAAGTCGTTTAAAGGTTTTAAACATATTTGACCCCAGTGACCTTGAATATAAATCAAGGTCATTTATTTGAACAAACTTGGTAGCCCTTCATCCCAACATGTTACTGGTCAAATATCATCACCCTAGGCCTCTTGGTTATTCAGAAGAAGTTGTTTAAAGATTTTAACATACCCCTGTGACCTTGAAAATGGTTGAAGGTCATTTATTTGAACAAACTTGGTAGCCCTTCATCCCAGCATGCTTCTGGCCAAATATCATTATCCTAGCCCTTTTGGTTACTGAGAAGAGTTGTTTAGTAAAAAGTTGACGCCAGATGGACGCCGCACCATGCCATAAGCTCACTTGGCCCTTCGGGCCAGGTGAGCTAAAAAATGTCAAACATCTGCTGACCTACCTTTGCTGCATTGTCTGGATCTTTGGCAATCAAAATTTAATGCTTGAAATAAGTAAGATTTGTGATCTGAGAAGCCTTTATCAACAAATGAGTGTCTATACAACTTTTACAGAACTTGTAATAAATTTTGCTACAGCTGTAAGAGAGATCGTAAGTGAGCAGCACATACATTCATTTATTTTTATGATGATATTCTTTGAAGAAAATTGCTGAAGTATTTGCTAAATTTATCCATTTTTTTGAGTCAGACTTTTTTATTTGTAGTTATTAGAAAAAACAAAAGGCTCAATGGGGCCTGCATCGATCACCTGGTATAAATCTCACACTTGTAACCTTAAAAGTGATCTAAAATAAAGCTACAGGCAAAATATCAGTATTTATGATTAAAATTCATTCAAAAGACCCTGTTATTTTTTTTTAAAACATTTCACCCCACTGATTGAAAGTCGACCAAATTTTATAGCCTTTCATCTTAGGATGCAACTTGCAAAGTATCAACATCCTGGGACCCATGGTTATTCAGAAGAGGTCGTTTAAAGATTTTAAACAAATTTGACCCCTATGACCTTGAATATAAGTCAAAGTCATTCACTTTAACAAACATAGTAGTACTTGATCCCAGCATGCTACTGACTAAATATCAACATCCTGAGCCTTTTGATTATTCAGAACAAGTTGTTGAAATATTTTGAACATATTTGCTCCTTGTGACCTTGAATATGATTCAAGGTCATACATTTAAACAAATTTGTAGCCCTTCATCTCAGCATGCTACTTGCCAAATAGCATCACCCTGGGCATTTTGGTTATTCAGAAGAAGTTGTTTAAAGTTTTTAACATATTTGACCCCTGTGACCTTGAATATGGGTGAAGGTCATTCATTTGAACAAACTTTGTAGCCCTTCATCTCAGCATGCTACTGGCCAAATATCATCACCCTGGGCATTTTGGTTATTGAGAAGATGTTTGAAGTTTTTAACATATTTGACCCCTGTGACCATGAATATTGGTGAAGGTCATTCGTTTGAACAAACTTTGTAGCCCTTCATATCAGCATGCTATTGGCCAAATATCATCACCCTGGGCATTTTGGTTATTCAGAAGAAGTTATTTAAAGGGTTTTTTAAGACAATTGACCCCTGTGACCTTGAATATAATTGAAGGTCATTCATTTGAACAAACTTGGTAGCCCTTCACCCAAGCATGCTACTGGCCAACTATCATCTCCTTGGGCAGTTTGGTTATTGAGAAGATGTTTAAAGTTTTTAACATATTTTACCCCTGTGACCTTGAAAATGGGTGAAGGTCATTGATTTTTTAACAAACTTTGTAGCCCTTCATCCCAGTTTGCTTCTGGCCAAATATCGACACCCTAGGCCTTTCGGTTATTAAGAAGAAGTCGTTTAAAGTAAAATATTGACGCCGGACGCCAGGTGAGCTAAAAATGATAAAGAACAAGAAAAGGGCAAGAAAATGAGCAATAAGAATGCAATGTCAAGAGTATTAAATATTGCTATTTATTTAAAATTAACTACATCAATTATAACTCGTGTTTTGAGTTTTCTTTCTCAACATGGCATGATAGATGGGAAATAGTTGGCAGTGACGTGCCGCAATGTAAGGGTTAAAAAATAGATACCATAGCGCATCCAAAAAATCCCTGGGAGAACAATGATCTTCCATACTTTCCCCTATTCCGCCTTTGCGTATTGCAGTTATCTTCTCTTGGGAGCAGGTATTGATTGTTACGTCATTGGTTTGTGTGAGAAAATTACGTCGTTTTCTCAAAAATTGATGACGTTACTCTCACAAACAAGTGACGTAACAATGAATACCTGCTCCCAAGAGAAGATAACTCTGCAATACGCAAAGACGGAATATGGACGCAGTCATGTTTTCACTACTGTACAAATCACTCGTCAGACCACATTACAGTATGGAACACCTATATGGTCCCCAGTCTTCATCAAAGACAAAATCTCCATGGAAAATGTACAAAGATGGGCTACAAATGGATCAAAAAGCTGTTCAAGAAACCATTTCGTCTTGAAGTAAATAAAAATGTCTTCAGTAATATATAATAGAACAATAACATTGAACAGTCTACCGGAAGTGATTGCTACAGCAATGAACCTTAACAGCTTTAAAACATTACTGAACAACCATAACATTACCAACAGGTCCAAATTCTGGGCCTCTTTTTACAATTAATAACATGGACACATGTTTCTTTAAAATATGTGAACTTTTACTGATCGTTTGGGAACAAATCAACAAGTGCGAACTTTATATAGTATGTGTGTCAAAAAAAATTACACACATGTGTTCATATAGAGAGAGAGCCGTTAGTCAATTTTATAATGTGTGAGTAACATAATCTATATACCGCCACAGCTCATCTATGTGTGAGTACATAATCTATATACCGTCGCAACTCATCTATGTGTGAGTAACTTAATCTATATACCGCCACAACTCATCTATGAGTGAGTAACATAATCTATATACCTCCACAACTCATCTATGTGTGACTAACATAATCTATATACCGCCACAGCTCATATATGTGTGAGTACATAATCTATATACCGTCGCACCTCATCTATGTGTGAGTAACATAATCTATATACCGCCACAGCTCATCTATGTGTGAGTACATAATCTATACCGCCACAACTCATCTATGTGTAAATAAGGGACTTTTTTTATCGATTTATAACCGGATGAGTAAATGAAATAGAATCAAGACACCTCCAAAAGCTAAAAAGCTTACAACGATGTAGATTACAGCGAAAGTACAGTGAAACATTAATCAACACTCTACTACTCTTACCATCGTCCCACTAGGATACATACTCTTACCATCGTCCCCCTAGGATACATACTCTTACCATCGTCCCACTAGGATCCATACTCTTACCATCGTCCCACTAGGATACATACTCTTGCCATCGTCCCACTACCATCGTCCCACTAGGATACATCCTCTTACCATCGTCCCACTACCATCGTCCCACTAGGATACATACTCTTCCCATCGTCCCGCTACCTACCATCGTCCCACTATACCTCCCATCGTCCCACTAGGATACATACTCTTACCATTGTCCCACTAGGATACATACTCTTACCATCGTCCCAATACCATCGTCCCACTAGGATACATACTCTTACCATCGTCCCACTACCATCGTCCCACTAGGATACATACTCTTACCATCGTCCCGCTACCTACCATCGTCCCACTATACCTACCATCGTCCCACTAGGATACATACTCTTACCATCGTCCCACTACCTACCATCGTCCCACTAGGATGCATAAGGTGACAGTACCCAAATCGGATCACCAAACCATCATTTTATTAAATCATTGAAAAATCTGAAGAGGAATTATATTCATTTATGGTTGTATCAAAAATAGAATATCGATGGCCGGTGTTCTCACAAACGAAATTAGCACCCGGGGCTCACTTGAGATACTTGTAGAACGCTCTGAAGTCACCAATCAGTGTCTCCTGTTTTTGCGAATGTCGGGACCCAAATCGGATCACGGCTTGAATTTTGCAGTATCGTACGCTTCAAATGAATATTTTTTGTCAGCATATTAACATTTTATGATGACCTTTAGAATTTATGTGACAAAAAGTATTTCTATAGTGTGAATTTATTCCTATAGTCCAAAACATAGTGCATGGTCGTCGCACGCGCCATATTTTAAAAACTTAATCAAAACATTGACATTTGAGTTTGAATTACGTTTTCTTGCGCTATTTGAACTTAAAAAATACTTATCTGTAGTCAGAAAATGGTGCATGGCTATCTATTCTAAGACAACATCATTGTTATAACTGATTTGTTGACACATTTATTTATAAGTATTTTTGCAAAAAGTGATCAGATTTGGGTACCGATCCGGTTTGGGTACTGCCACCATCGTCCCACTAGGATACATATATATACTCTTACCATCGTCCCACTAGGATACATACTCTTACCATCGTCCCACCAAATATCAACGCTTTAGAGTTATACTACTCTTACAGTTGTCTCCCAAAATCTCAATGCTCTATAAACTACTATGTAACAGTGCCAATGCTGTAGTGATACACGCACTCCAAAAGGGTAACCCTCCAAAAGGGCATGAGGATGAGCCATGACATTAATGATTACGTTATAATTACGTGCCCGTAGTCCGTGCGGGTTTGTTCAAATGTTGGCAAAGTGACGTGTCATTGTTCTGTAAGTGTTATACGTTAAGGTAATAAATCATTAAAATAGGTCTTAATTGTCCGTACCATTCTCTGTCCAGAGACAAAATACTGGCAACTTCTTTGACAACTTCTCTCAAGACCGACTTCCTGCCATGTTGCAATGTTGACATCTCGATAGGCTCCTGCGAGATTTGAGAAATAGCGCGAGATTTAATTATGTCTATGAGCGCCAAGCGATGTCCTACTGGCAAAGTATAATTAGTTTTGGCCTCCTGGTTATTCAAAAGAAGTTGTTCAAATGATTTTACATATCTAACTCCCGTGAAAGACGATTTACAGGAACGGGCGGAACGGGCAGAAACGTTTTATAGCGATAAATGTAATAGTAAAGAAAAGCATTCGATTGAATTATGCAGTTCAAGAGAAAAC